AACCATGTTGTGTTGAGTCATGTTAACCATGTTGTGTTGAGTCATGTCAACCATGTTGTGTCTCTTTCATGCTCCCGGCTGTTCCTCCAGAAACTCCTCATTCAATTTTACCCAGTAAGTCCTGTTCATGTTTGAACTGAGCTCAAAGTCACACTTCATGTTTACTGTCAGAGTTGTTCTCGTAGTCTGTAGTAATCTGTGTCTCTTTACAGGATGAAGTGAACAACAGACTCTCAACAGACAATAAATGCTCGGTGAGGGTAGCCTGAGGTCAGGGGTCAGGGAAGAAGCAGGTCAAGTTACTGCTAGCAGGGTTTTATGACCAACATGTCTTATCTGTATTATTATTATTATTATTTAGAGCTGCAACAATGAATCTATTAGCTGTCAACTGTTGAACTAATTACCAACTATATCATCATTATCATTATTATTGTTAATTATAATGATAATGATGATAATAATAATAATTCAAATATTTCCACCTTGTGTCGTTCAAAGCTCAATCACGTAAACAGACACAAAGTCTCTTTTGGAAAATATAGCAAATGTTGTCTCATGTGATAAAACTTGTGTCAGTCTGTTGAAACAGGATCAGCGAGTTTGCTGGAAAGTTGAATAAAGTAACATTTTAATTGAGTCTCTGTTTTTTAAACCATAAAGGGAACATACTGTAACTCTCTGTGTGTAGGTCTGAACTCTGTGTTTCTGTTGCTCATTTCTCTAGTGTGTGTTTTAATCAGAGAACGTCTTCATTCTGTTTTCTTTAGATCATAGAGAGAACCGAGTCTCTGAGGAGAAGGTGAGTGTGTGTGTCTGTGTGATTTAAAAGTTTAACTGAACAAATCTTCACCTGTTGGAAATGTTCCCAAATAAATATTCCAATGTAGTTGCAGGTGGAAAAAAAAACGTGTATTTATTGATTTTACTAAATTATTTAATTTAATTTCTCAGTTTATTTTAATCGTATCGACTGTCTCACTGAGCTTTCGGTTGTTGTTATCATTGCCTTGTTTTTGCACTTTGTAAACTCTGTTTTTAAAGGTGCTGTATAAATAAAGTTATTATTATTAACATTAATATTATTTCTACATTCTTCTGAAGCAGCAGTAACATAAAGAAGACGATGCCACCTGTTGCTGTTTCCAAGATCGACAAGAAACTGGAGATGTACACACATGCTCTCGAGGTAAAACCCCCAAGAGTTACTCTTCTTCTGTGGTAAACCCTCATCCCAGTGCTTTCATCTAACCGTCCTGATTCTCACTTTGTTTCTCGCAGGTCTCCACAAAGGAAGGCAGATCTGGGAGTCAGGCGCTGACGGACCTGACGAGTCCCACCGAACCCGTCTCCTCCAAGAAGAGCCTGTTCGAGGCCGGAGAAGCCTGGAGCCAGAACGCCGTCTCAGTCTCCCCGTCTAAGGTGAATGACGTCAGCCTTATGATGTCAGCACAGCTGATACAGAACGACTCATCACTCTGATCAGTTCCTATGAGGATGTTTCATGCTGCTGCAGCTGTTGTTGTTTTCATGCATATTTATTCTTCTCTGGCTCAGGATGCAGATGGTTTAAAAGTGGGTGTGGCTAATCTCATCAATCAGTGGGTGAAAGGAGGTGAAGACGGGAGCCGGTGCAGCTCGCCCTCCAGACCAGCGGTGAGTCAGGATTTCACTTTTTACATGAGGCAAAAATTCACAACAACTGTTTGTTTCTGCCTTTTCTCCTCAACTCTGTTTGTCTGATAACTTCCTTACATTTTCAATAAGCGTTCCTCTCTGTTCCTTCTTCTGTTTCATGGAACCAGAACCAGCATCTTTTCCTCTGCTGTAAATCATCTCAGCTCAGTTAAACAGAGCAGTCAGTAACAGTCTGCCTCCCTGTGGCTGCGTTCACCATCAGAGAGGATTTAAATAAAATAATACTTCAATAAATAAATATAATAAATCAGTTACAAATCAAACAAAAGCAAAACTCTTCCAGCTTCTATAACTGAAATCAAGGATTAATTGTAACATGTATAACTGTAAACTGCTGTTATCTTATTTACTGGGAGATGGTTGTAATCTTTAGGCATTAATAGGAAATATCTACTAAGATGAAGGGGAGGATGTCAGAAACACTGAAGTTACACGTTAAATGTTTGTGAATTTGTCTCTGATGAAGCTTCATCAACTGAATTTCAGGAGAGCTCCTCTGGTAAAAGATTTAAGTTTGTGGTGACGCGTCACGGCAAGTACGAGAAGGTTTCTGGTGATAACGACTGCAGTGAGGACGCAAACTGCCCTTCAGGTGAGTTCATTCAATCATTCATTCATTCATTCATTCATTCATTCATTTTAGTCTGTAATAATGTGCGACATGTTTAGATTGTAACCTGTTTACATATTTTTAGTTTTAAATTCTTTAAACTTTTCATTTAATGACTTATTTGCTAATAACACCATAAATAGTTTAATCTGCAAAACTGGTTTATTTCATTCATCTGAAGAGAAGTTATGAATATAATAGACTGATATTGGATTTGTCTATTATATTCTATTACAAGTTTGGGATTTAATTATTCTTTCTTTTTACTTTCTATATTCAAAAGATAATTTTTTTTAATTTAACCCAAATAACCAATGAAACAACAATGGAACAATGGAAAAAAATTGTTATAAAAACTATTAAAATGCATCAATGTGAGCCTCACCGTAGTTTCTTCATCCACATGAACAAACACTCTAGTTTATTCATGTTAGCTGTGGTGCGTCACCGTTCTCTAGCTTATCCTGTGATTCAAAATGGAGAAATACAAGACGAGAGCTTCACATTGAACTTTATGCATCGTTGAGAATCACACAGTGAACAAAAGTGTTAAAGTTTTAGTTTATGTTAAGCATCAGTGTGATAAATGGGGCTGTGGTTAGCTTAGGGGTCAAGTCCCCCTCACACCATGATGGTCATCTGGGGTTAACACCACATTTTTAAACTCCCGAAATAGAGACAAAAAGGGTCAAAATATCAACAACATGCAAACACATTCTACGGCAGCACCAAAATCCTTCAGAGCTGTGAAACATCACACCCGCCATGAACGTCTTCTCCAGCTATCACTCCATTGTCAGTTAGTCTGTCTTCCTACTGCAGGCATCTTCATCATCATCATTCATTTATCATTCTTTGGTATTCACTTCCTCATCCTCGTTACAATCTAAACTCATTGACATTGTTTTCACAAGTCCTGGACGATCCACCACGAGGCAAGAAATTACAATCCACCAAGTTCATTTGTTCATATCATCACCGTGGGAAAATAATGGATCTCAACACAGAAGAGATTTTCACGGATAAACATAAACATTCGTTTCAGTCGGTCTTCATCTACTTTCCTCAACTGACAGATTAGCTTGGAGCTTGTGGCTGGTGGAGTGATTTTAATGTTGGGATGGGCTTGGTCAACAGTATTCTGTGATCGTCTCAAAATAACACCAAAAAGCTTTAATTATAATCTCAGTTTTCTCCCAAACATGCCAACGTTCTCACTGTGACAAGGCAAACATGCTAATGTTTAACAAGCAACGTTTACCATTAGGCTACTGTGTTAGCATGCTAACATCTTCCAATTAGTACCAAACTGATGGGAATGTGCTTCATGTATTGAATCATAATCCAAAGTATTGAACTAATTAAAATTGTGCCAGATGAAAAGTCAGCTGTTCACCAGAGTCAACGGGATGCGTCCTCTGGGGACCATGAATGTTTGTACAACATGTATTGGCAATTAGTTTTATTGTTAAGATACTTCAACCAAAGCCCAAGTGGTGGACCAATTAACCCAACATTACTTCCCGAGAGCCACTAGAAAACAAAAAACAAAAACATCACCTAAAAGCCTGAGCAGACAATATACAATAATATATACTGATATCAGAAGAAGATCTTTTAGGCATCATAGTAGTATTGTCCATATTGCCCAGCCCCAAGATGTACCAGCCTGTGTGGTTGTAGTTTCTTGCCCCAATCAAAAGCCCAGACCTCAGCTGCTTCGTTTCCATCCTTACCTGACTTCCAGAACCCTAAATCTGCTCTGACTGGACCTTCACCCTTCATCCAGCTCTGCTTTTCCTTCTTTCAAAATCCATCTGCCCTGTTGTTCCAGGAATGTAAAAGCCCTATTTATTACAGAGATTACAATCTGCCTACCAGCGGTGTACACTAAAAGCCTGTTTAGAAAAATAGAAAAAGGTAGAACATGTCAAATGAAACAATCTTCTCTCTGCATTCAACACTACATCTAGGCTACCATCAAATGAAACAATAACAATCTAACAAAGTAGTGTTGCACAGCAAAATTTTCTTTTAGCGAGTTGATCAGTTATCAATTATACTTTTAGTCCTTTTTACCCTCAAGAATAATCTTCCTCCTCAATGCAGGACTGATTTCTAAAATTAATTTAATTGTGAAATAAATCAACAAATTGTTTAATATCTATTTTCTTCCAAATTCCCTCTACTGATTCATTTTCTCAGATAGGTTCTCACACCTATCTGAGATCATTGCATCTTTATCTTAAATATCAGTAGTTTTCCTTGAACCAAATCCTCTTGCTTTCCTGTTGAAGTCCTTGTGTTCGTCTTCCTGCGATTTGCGTTTTATCAGCCCCTTTTCAAACACTGCTGATATCTTCGAGAGCGGCTTCTCTGCCGCCTCTTTTAGCTTCCTGGCATCAAAACGGGGGCTGTACAACAGAATCGGCAGGCGACTGACAAAAGAAGGAACTTCTCCTTGCTTGTCTTTAGGTTCCTTTTTCTTATCTGATTCTTTCTTGTTGGCGTTGATCTGGTGCATAATTCGGTCTTTGGTAGAGAACATCTGAAAGAGGAGGACGTCCCACATCTTTAACCCCATGGGACCGTCTTTGTTGTTAAGCACTTCCCGATTAGCACATTGGTCTGCCGATGACTTATCACCACCTTGATCTGTTTTCTCATTGCTGCCACTGGAATCGACCTGAGATTGGGCATTCTTCTCTGGAAACAAAAGTTCCTCTGGCTCAACAACCATGTGTTTCTTGAGCCGTGTCCATCCGCTGAGCTTACCCTTAAGGCCTTTCGGCTTCTGTGCTGCTTTAGCCTCAGTGGATGGACGGGATGTCTCCGCCGTCACGGCCTTCTTGTCAGCAGTTGAAGATGCAGTCGATGTCGCTGACTTCGTGGAGGGTTCGGCCGTCGGGGCTTCCGTCGGCGCAGCTGTAGATTTGGTCCTCACAACATCCTTGTCTTTGAGTCCAGTTTTTTGCTGAGATGGCGGTGACATTCCTCTGTTTGGGGATGGAGGTTTGACTGAGACTGAGGCCTGAGGCAGAGAGGCAGGAGTGGCAGAGTCAATCACAGCGGCTTTTACTATGGATGGTTTCATGACAGTATCTGTTGCTGGCTTTGCAGGGGAAATATTCTCTACTGGTAGCTTTGTCGAGGTCTGAATGTTACTGGTGTGCACGCTAATCTGGACTGGATCGGGGGAAGGCTTTGAGGATTTTGTTTTTACAGGTCTTGATTCTATCTGCTTAGTGGGAAGTTGTGCTTTTAGAGTAGGTTTACTGATTGAAACAGGATCGGCAGATTGGATGGAAGGGTTAGTTTTAGCGTTCATTGAGGATACTTTTCCTTCCTTACTGGAATCTTTTGCTCGGTGTCTTTTTCTCTTTTGCATTTGGGAAATTACCTCTACCTCTGCACTGTTAGCCAGGACTGAAACGTCTTTAGTTGTGGTTGGTTTTGAGATATTCTCTGTGATCGACTTAGCAGAGGGCTGATCGGTGCTGGTGGGTGTTTTACTTCGAAGAGGTGTAATGGGATTGTTTGTCTGGTCTTTAATGATGACTGAAGGTTTATTTTCTGTAGTATGGTTTAAAGAGACTGGAGTTTGAGGAGACTGGGGCAAGGTTGGAGTATAGCGTTGAGTAGGTGTATTACGCAGTCTTGCTTCTGGTAAAGGGGAGGCTCTTGTTGGGCTCCAAGGTTTAGTTACTCGAGGAGGGATAAGTGGGGCTTTAGCATCTCTGGTGGCTTCAACAAGAGGTTGAATATTTGTGGCAGTGTGGTTATTTAAATGAGTGTGTGAGACGGTATGTAGAGTGTGAATGTTAGTTTCTATAGATTTATTTGTTTCACTGACAGATTGCCTAAATTGTTTCACTCCAGTCTGAGAGCTCACCGAATTTACAGACGTTTGAACTTTATCTCCAGACAACGTGATTTGACTTGCAATGGTTTGCTGTTCTATACTGTTAGCCATGGCATAACCAGAAGAAGAGGAAACTGTTGTCTCAGTCTTAGACGTTACAGAATGTGTTGTCCTTGTAGGGAGACTTGCTCCAGAGTCATTGACTACTATTGGCTGAATGAAAGGGGATTGTTCTTTTACAGTGGATTTAGTTGTACTTTGTGATGCCGATGTCTCAGACGATCTGTGCTCTGCAAGAACGTTGGCAATCTGTTTACCATCTGCTTTTGACTTTGTGTAGATTCTTGTTCGAGCAACAGGGACAGAAACAGGTTTTGCACTGATGGCTGGTTTTGTTGCAGGTAGACTCTCGGGTCCGTCTAATCTCAGCTGAGGGCTTTTTGGTGTGACATGCCTCATGGCAGGGCTAGATGGCATGGTAGCTTTAATAACCTGTACAGTATTAAATGATGGTTTAATGCTCACTGCTGGGTCTGTCATCATAGGCATAATGGATTCTGTATGAGGCTTGTTGGGGACGTGAATATTGCTGCCTGAATTGGATTTGTTGGAGTGGGCAATTTCTGCAACAGGTCCGCCGTGTTGAATAGTCTCTAAACATCCTGGTTGTGCAGGTGAGACCGAGTCTGTGGAGCACTTCAATCCTGCAGACAGTTTGTTTTCACTGCTAGGTGTGTTCAGCACTGTGTTTCCTTTTAAAAGATTAGAAGCTGGTCTTGTTTCAATAACACATTTTGTTTGAATGTTTTCTGCTATAATAGCTACACTGGGGCACGCTGTTGGTGTTTTCCAAGTCAATAAACTCACTCTTCCATTGGTGAGTTGTGATTGCAGTTCTGTGCCCACGGTTGAGTTGCCGACTCTGTTAGTGTCCATATTATTATAAGTGGGGAGTTTAGGTTCTGTATTGACTTGGCTTGACACTATCGAGTCTTTAGCAGGGATGTTATGGCTGGTTCCAACTACTTGTGTGGACGCTACTGTAGCTCTTCTTGAGTTTGTGTAGAGATTTTCTGTTTGAATAACTTTATCTTGGCCACTGGATAATATGCCACTCTGTGTGTTTAGAAGTACATTCTCAATAGTTTTGGTGAGTTTTGGGAGCTCTTTTGTGAGCACATTGGAGGTCATATCTGAAGGGAATTTAACGCCTGAAATGTTGGGTAATTTGGTTGCATTGACAGAAAGGTCAGGTATTTTGGGTTCTGTGTTAGGTCTTCCCACTAAATTACCATTAACAGCAGGTGTATTTGGTGCACTTGATGCTTGAGAAGATTTCAAAGTGAGACTTTCTCCTGGCAAATTAATCTTGTGTCCTACTGTTTGATTATTCCTGTGAATTTTAGTTTCAGTGCAAATCTGTTGCGGAAATTTTGTGCTTTGGACCGCTGCAGATACTGTGCTGAGACTACACTGTGCAGAACATACAGATGCTGTGACAGGCTCATGTTGCAAAACTGATCCTGTGGTAGCGATAATTGATTCTTTGGAGAATATTTTTGAGAATTGGGCCTCAGTGTTTGTTTTGTTGAGGATAAGTTCAGTATTACGAGCCACAGAAGGCAAAATGTTCCCCGTGTTTGTTTTATTGAGTAGAGTAACTTCTTCACTTTGTTTATGTAAAACCGCTTCAGCAGCCACTTTACTGGACAGTGTTTTTTCCGAAACCAGTTTGTTGGCTTGTTGTATTCCTAAGATTAATGCACCATTTATGATGGCATTCCCAGAGAATTTGGGCTCTAAATCTGTGGCAGGAGACGGAACAACCAGGTTTTTACGATCAGCTAGGTCTTTAACAGGCTTGGCAGTGGGTTGGACATTGAGACCATTTGCTGTTGATGGACTGACTCCACCGGGAGTTTTGAAAGACTGGACCGGAGATATGTCTACGTGTCCTGACTGTTGTTTGGCATTTGTGACCTTGGATTCTCCTTTTGTAGGTGTTTTCTCAAGATTGCAACCTTTCTCCATCCCTTTTAAACTACGCTGTTTTTCAACATTTGGTTTTACTTTCACTAAGGGTGAGGAAGAACTCGACAGACCATTGCTATCAGTCAGGCATGGAGTCGTATTTCTCGTTGCCTCTATAGAAAATAGTGCCATACTTTGTGTGTTTGGCTCACCTGCTTTAGACATTGGTATTGGATCCTCAGAGTATGAGGCTTTTGGTGTGGATACATCACTTGTGGATTGTTGCATTGTGTTCTGTGACAAGCCAAGGGGAAGCTCAGGTTTTATTGTGTCCACGCTAGATGTTTTAAGTGATTGTATTCCAATACTTTGAGCTGCAGACTGAGTTTCCTCAAACACATCTTCGCTACGTGTGATGATCCGTTCCGCTGGATCCTCAAAATCCCTTGGAGGTTGTAAAATGCTTGCAACAGAAACCTCCACCAAAGACGGAAGATCTTGATGTCCATTGATTTGTTGTGTTGCATCAGACTTTGACACGTTTACAGTTACGTCTGACTGTGTTTTATTCGAAGAGGTTCCATTAAACCTGCGGGTTGCAGGGCTGTGATGGGATGCTTTAGTCCTTATCCCTCCATAGGCTGCATACTCAGATGGAGTAAGCCCGTAATATGTCGATTGGGATTTGTGCTTTGAGGTCGCTAATGACATTTGATTCTCCAATAGTGACAACAAAGACTTACGTGCATCGACCCCAGGGGGACGATAAGGGGACGACAGGGGGGTTGGACTTGGTGGTGCTTCAATTGAAATCACTGGCGTAGGGTTGAGAGTATTTGGTACAGAAGACAAAAATGATGGGACTTTTGGCAAAGACGAAGCCTCACTTTCAGAAACTTGGTTTGTTTGTAGTTTTGGGATGACTGGTTCTATTAGTGTTGGTTTTACCACAGCAGAGTGAAGTGCAGTCATACTTGATGCCAAGTTCTCCCTTGGGTACAGATCAGTATTGGCAAAGCTTAGATTTATCATACTCCTTTGTGTCTCCATCTTTTCATAATTGCTGGCTTGTTTGATAGCAGTAATGTGATTAACATCAGTCCGCTTCAGTTCTTCTGCGGCAGACGGAGGTTTACTTATAACACTGGTTTGAATCGCTGATTTCTGTCTTGGAGCTTCGTTGGGAATTGCAGGAGCTTGTAGATCTTGGGAGGACTTGAAAGCAGCAAATAAAAGTGGGTTAGGTTTGGATATTTCAATAAAGGGCGTGGACACTCGAGCTGGTGTAGAAGAGGGAGTCTTAGGTCTTCCACATTGGGACATGGACGCATTCCATTTCTGATCAGATTTCACCACTGACACAGCTGTTTTCTTTCTGTATACGTCAGAAAACGATGCTCCCTGGTAGGTTGGGATTATTGCTGTAAGGTCCTGGATGGAGGGAGGTTTAGAGATCTCATAAAACGTTGCCTTCGATGTATAAATCCTGCTTTCAATGGTGTTGGGCCTTGTCTCTTTAACTGCTTCAACAAGGGATATTTTTGAGGCGGTTATCTCAGGGGACATCTGGCTTGGAACAAAGTTGCCATTACTGGTAGGTCTGGCAGTCCAGGACGACGTCTGGCTCTCAGGGTTATCCTTTGAACCGGCGTTTGTCTCCCTCTGGCTGGGAACAAAAGGTTGTGTCTGAGTGTTTGGAACTGATAGCAGCACTGGAAGAGGAGGTAGGTCTGCAACCGGAGAAGGTCCCGGGCCTGGACCACAGTGAGGGGCGGCTGGGGATAGGGTCAGGCTGTGAGTTGATATTTTAGTGCTGCATTGCGACACAGCGACCGGAGGGACTGTTGTGACTAACCCATGGGAATTTGGTGTCATGTTTAAATTGAAAGCAGAGGGAAGAGTTGGTGCTGGAAGCCGCTCGGGTGGTGATGGGGGTGGTGAAACCGAAGGTGGCATCATGAAAGGAGTCACGTCATCGAATAAAAAAGAGGAGCACTCATACAGCGGAGCCACCTGCTCCTCAGAAGTCCTGATCTGAGCTATGTAGGACGGAGGGGGGAAGCTGCCAGTTTGGACATAGGAACTGCTCCGAGGATGAGGGAATGCAGATGCAGAGTGATCGTAGAGACATTCAAAGGGGAAACTGGACACTGAAGGGTCCTCAATGTAGACCGAATCCGGTGTCCTTGGCGGGCTGGACTGGTCGCTGTGCTCGAGGTCTGTGCTCGCCTCGTTGACAGGTGACAAACAGGAGCGAAAGGGGACGGGCGTCTGAGAGAGGCTCCCTTTTTTCTTGGCTCTCTTCTTCTTGAGTTTCTGAAGCCTTGCGTTGTCTTTGCCTGGTTTTGGCAGTAAGGGCGGAGGATACTGCTGGGAAAGGTCAGGCTCCAGCCCGTTAACGTAGCTGACTTCCATCGGCATTTCTTTAGACCCCTGCAAGACAGACGAGACGCATCAGTCTAATTATCTTCAGCCCAAAATCCACTTATGTAATAACAGCAAAGCAGACACAAAACTGTCAAATTATTCATCAAAAGAGGCCTGTCATGTAAAAGTTGGTTTCATCATATTTGCTTGATAACAAAACAAATGCTTATAATATAATTTGTAGTCAAAGTTTCCCAAAAAAGACTTAAACTGAGCCAAGAGCCAACAAATGTTTCATGAGGAGGTGACACATCACACGGCTGCTTCAACAGCCGTCGGAGCACATCTCTGGTTGCGTGGTGGGATGTTCTCTATCAGTGGGCAGTTGTTGGAAACGTTGAGGAGTTTTGTTCCAATACAGAGGTTTTTTTTTTCTTTATTATGGATATAATATATATTTGATTATGGTCATCAATTGTGTTTAATCAAATACAATAAGTTGTTTTTCCTCCTTTTCAGCTGGACAGTTCTTTGAAGATTTGTGAAACCTGGACCTGGATCAATTTTGGATGATGAAAACTTTGATGCTGCACAAACCGTATTCACTATCACTTTATTATTCTCTTTATTTCAAGCTTTAGGTTGGAAATGTACTTAAATCATGTTGTAATGACAAATTTATTTTTACCAAAGGTAGTGAAGTAAATAGTGAGTGTTGTCTTCTGTTTGCAGGTAGAATAATAATCTCAGCAGTAAAACATCTTTTCTTACAATGAAATAACTTCAATTAAACACATTCCTGATGTTCGATTCCTCAATACTTTAGTCGCTGGTGAGTTCCTCTGTTTGCTTCCTTTGTCAATCACTGTGTAGGCGAGCTCATTATTGCTTCTACTGTGTTCCCGGTGTCGTGTACTCAGCTGCTTCTACAACTGTACTGATTTAACCCGAGCTAATGGCTTCGAGACAAGTCTGCAGCTGGCTTTAGAAAACTCTGAGCTGTCGTGACAACGGGCTCATTAGCAGGTTTCCAAACTCTTGATTGGGTCCTGAAGATGCTGCATGGCTACAAGAAGCGTCACTATTGGAAATAGAAAGGCATGTAAAGCGGTCGCTTATTGCAAGGCTGCTTTGAAACGATGCCAAACTACTTATGAAAATAGTCTCTCAAGGAGACAGTCAGATTTAAAAATGACCTCTGCAGGAAATAAAAGTGAAGGCAAAGGAGGATGATTGACAGGTCCAGGAGGGTGACCGGGTTCCGAGGGGAGGAGGGGCGCAGCAGTTTGCTCATGCTCATAAGAAAAGAAACTTAAAACCTGAGAAGCAGTGAATTGCGTCCAAATTATTTTGTCATTAGCATTACAAGTAAAACAATAAGAGGGAGGTCAAAGGTTAGAAGCATAATACATACGTAATGTATAAAAGCTTATACAAACAGTAATTCATATTAAAATGTGACTGACATTCTACAGTTGGTTTTGTTCACTTTATAATAAACATTTACTTTTTAAAATTAATTTAACAAGAATCTTCATTCGTCACTACCGAGGTAGAAGCTACTCTTCCTGGGATCCGTAAAAAACAAACTCAAATTTAACTAAAATCCAAAACAAAAAAGGGAACAAAAACAAAAGTAAACCAGCAAACTACAAAAACAAATCAACAAAGATACTACTTTCAATTACAATAATAACAACAAACAACAATCTGAACAAAAAAACACAAGAACAACATACAAACAAACCATAAATAACAATAAAACTGCTCATGAAAAGAACAACAACAGGTATCTGTATTGTTCTCTTTCTGTCTGCATATGCCAGCTGATCTTTGGGGGTGACACTAGAAAAAGGTCCGGGGCCTATTTTTAGACCGAGGGGAAATAAGAGCAAACAGCGACCGACTGACACGGAGCACCTGCTGCCCGCCGTCCTGCACTCACACACACACGGCCTCAGTCTGCTGGAAATCAATCCCGCGGCCCAAATCCTCTCAGAGCCGCGCCAACTGTGAGCTTAGCCTCGTGTTTCGTCTTAACATTTATTATATATGTCACGTTGGCACCAGTTGGGTCTGAGAGAAGCAGGATTATTACACCCAATGTGATATTTTTCTGTAAGTTTGACAATGTTTTTTTAATATTTAAAGCAAAACAACATCTCACTGCGATATGTCGCTGCTGACTTCAAATTTAAACAATGTTTGGCCCGTTTTGAGCCAATGTTTAACACGAATCGCTGTCGTCGAAGTGACTCCAGCAGTGACAAGGTGGCCAGCTGACACATGAGAAGTCCCCCTTTTAAGGCTCTGGGGTTGGATATCTGGGAGGCTTCCACTGGAGCCGCTCAAAAGAGGAAAGTATAAGATTAGCTTTGTGGTAAAACTGTGCCATGACCTCAATCTATCGAGATTTACAGAAGAGGGCGAGCTCTTAATTAATCATCACGTTGCGACATTATGAATCTGAGCAACACTTACTTGCTTGTGTTTTGCTGGACAGAATGCAAAACAAACAATTTACTTACAACGAAAAGTGGATTCCAAGGCCAAGAAAAGAATGATAATCAACGGGCCGGTGAGCAGGGTTCGTTAATCGCTGCTGATATCTATCGATGGCGCAAAATTGTGCAGAAACATGTTAAAAACTGCTTTGCAAGCTCCTAATCTCACAGATGGCAACGTCTGCTATGCATCATGCCTTTGAGATTTCAGACCGTGCTCACATGCATCGATCACATTCTATGCAGGTTAGCGCCCCGAGCCGACGGGTCAGCGCCACTCTGCACTACCACCAGCTGGTCAATCAACAGACACACTTTGAGTTTGACTGGTTTACCTTTGGGCGAGCGGCTGTCGGGGGGGACAAACTGCTCTCTGCTTGTTAATCCCGGCTCAGAGTGCCACAGGGCCACTCATCCTGAAGTGAACTGAAGCCTTGGGGAGCGAGCCACCGTGCACGTGGCCACTCCAAAAATAAAACCGTTCGCTTTTAGTGTGTGTCTGTGTGTGTGTGAGTGTGTTGCAGGGGGACAGACGGGGGTTTCCAGGCCACCTGAGATGGCTGAGGTGCAGCCCCTACACCTGAGGGGGAAGATGGTCGTCCAGCAGGGGAAAGTCCAGTATGTGAGCAGGACACGAGCCTTTCACCCGACACCAACAAGGGTTCACTAGTTGTTGTAACCCAACCCAGGTGTTGTTTACCATTACAACATCAGACACACCTTTAGTTCGGTGGGAATAATTACTCTTGGTGGCTTGTTAAGACATTTTAAAAACTGTAATAAAGCTCCATTTACAAAAAGTCTTTCACGGTCACAAAGCATTTTCTCTCCCAGGTTTATTTGACAAAGATCTAAAAAGAAAGAATGATTTGGAAATAAAGTATTTTCTTGAGTAGAATATGTGACTATGTGACAAGCTTCCTGTTTATTTATTGACTTTGAATCCACAATTTTATGGCGAAGATACAACAAAATGGCGAGTTTCTCTCTTCTGTAAATCAAGTGTCACTTTACCTCGTAAAACTTTACTTCCTCTGACGATGGAGTAGGTGCCGATCTTAAGCAAGTCATGAACACCATTAACTACAGCAGAGGAGCCACTCGGGGGCCCTCTACGGTTCAGCAGCAGATAGGCAGTATTTTGACTATATTTAACCGTGTGGCATAGTTTTGTGTATTTCGTAATTTGTATTTGAATGGTAAATAACAATAAATCTCTTGCTGGCTTCATGCTCAAAAGCCCCTGGAGATCACAGACTCATTGTTGTTGCACTAAAGCCGCACTCCACTCAGTGGCCCCTCCTCTAAACCAGTTATTTCCCAAAGACTGGGTCGGGACCAGGCAGCAACCTCTGGTTCTAAAAAGCGAAGCCAATGCTGAAAAATCTGAACGCTGCATTCTCTCTAGTGTCCATCAGGGGGCGACTCCTCTGGTTGTATAGAAGTCTATGAGAAAATTACTCTACTTCTGGTGACGGCCAAAATGCTGAACTCGAGACTTCAAAACGTCCAAAAACCAATGGTTGACGTCACGACTACATCCACTTCTTATATACAGTCAATGGTCATTTTATTTGAGACTCCAAATAAATTTCCTCCATAATCTTTTATTTAAAATTCATCTTTGCAGTACACATTTAAATCACGCTCCCTCTTGTGGTTTAAAAGTGGAAAGACTAGCGTACATTCAAGTAGTTTTACTGATGAGAGGAAATGAAAAGAATGACAGAGACGATTACCATAACGTATTCTTTTAGTCTTATTTCTAAAGTATTTAGCATGTGTTTATGTTTTCATAACAAACATAAACACACAAAAAAAAACTTTTTTTTCTCTTGTAAATGGCTGGTTTACAAATTCAAGATAATATAAGGTGATGTGGAAATCGCAGTAAAAATGGTCAAGAATGTTAATTTACTCACATTTGTTGTTCTCATGATTCATAGATCATAGATCAGACTGTTGTGAAAGTTTGGGACGTACTTAAGACTTCCTATTGCACTATTGATTAAAAGAAGTTTTTAAGTACTATTTTTTATGCAATCTAAATCTACCTTGTACCAAACAGTTGAAATGCTAAGAATCTTTAAAGCTGTTTTAGTCGATGTTGGCCTCCAGCTAAAACGAGCTGAAAGAGAAACAACCACCAGCTTACAGAGTTGTTACGGGATATTGTGTGTTCGCAAACAATTAGCAACATTAGCATCCATTAGAGGTCATGTTTCTGGCCACCCGAAGAATTTAGGTGCAATATTCGCTCTCCTTTTAGCTCAGTCTGAGAGTGGTAGTGATAAGGACTTAACTCCAGATGAATTAGCTGACTAGTTTTCTACTTTCACTGGTGTTGTGCAGTGATGTAATGGAGCATAGCGTTAGCGTTAGCTTGCATTTCATCATCAGCTGCTCCATTCCTACCTGGCCACCGGCTGACTAGTGACAACCAATCGCATTCATTCGATCTCACTCACAACTCATTGAATACCGCACATTGCTACCAACAGAAGAGTGACATTTTTGTTCGGATCGTTTTCTGTAACCATGTGTTGGATGAAAGCATGGTGGAATTAGCAAGCTACCAAAGTAGCCAGGTGTTTTGCTAGTTAGCTAGTTGCTAGCAAGCCCAAACAGTCGACCATCTTCTCGTCTCTCTAGTAGTTTGAGCTTGGTGTGTAATCGGCGAAGTGAAGCCGGTGCGAGATGCGCTCGCCACAAAATGTTGTCCCTACGGTGAGATTGTCACGCTCAAAAACTCCGCCAGTGGTTGCACAATTCTGAATTTTTGTAACTAGTCGGGCCCGCTGCCTTTCCAACGTGACTCTCCCAAATACTTCAGTGACGAAAACACTATTATCATGTCTGAGGACTTTACAAAAACGGACAATTTTAGATGCTTTAGAAACAGGAGGTGTTAAAGAAAATCTACATTTGAGTAAATATTTTGCAGACCAATCAAATAGTTTTACAAGATATTCAACCTTTGTTTCTTTATAATGCATTTAACACTTGACTTCTTTCTTTACATATCAGAAACGAGTTTACAGATAATTACAATTCCTCCTCGGCCTTGTGGTGGTTTGTTTATGGTGTTTTTCGCGGTTTCACTCGTTGTCTTTTTGATTCCTCACGGTACATTTCATTTGTCCGCCCTCTGGCATTTCGGAGAATAATGCAACAAACAGCGAGTCAAACTTAAACGCCTTTGTGCTCGCACGCCATCTGCAGAGGCTCGCACCACAGTGCCACCCGCAAGTGTGAAGAAAACTTTAGCTTTCTGCGTGAGCTCAGCCGTTAGCAGAAGGCCAGAGCTAAACTATTCGCAACATTTTCTCTCCATTTCTTAAAAGTTTGGCGGATATTGTAGCTCCCTAGAGCCTTGAATCACAGTTTATCATCTCAAATATGCATTATGGATTCTAAGAACACAGCAAGATGATGTTTTTGATGTTTGTTTGCCTCCAGTCTTTTCTTTGTTTAGCCATAATTCTGCTGTGGAAGAGTCTATACACCCTCATAGTGTGATAGCACAGCGCTCTGCTGAAGTGAAACCTCCCTGAAGCTCTGCACTCTAAACCATGTCACCGTAAAGTAACGATAAAATACCGGCGGCAGAGACTTCAGTAATCTACTGTTATTTTACAGTGCAACCACTGTAGTTTATTTTAACAATATCTTATCGTATATTGGAATACAGTATGCAACAGTATACAGTAGAATTACTGGGTTTTACGGTAATTTTATGTCTCCGTTTATTTACAAAGGGTAATAAAATCTGCTACTTTTGCATTTAATTCCCCAACAAAAAGTAGAAAACACAAGAACGAATTAAAGTTTATTACTTCTCCTCAATCATTTAAACAGCTGACTTTGTAAGACACATGATATTAGGAACATTTGTGTTCCATAACTGAAGAGGTACTGCATGTTTAGAAGAAAAATGTATAAAAACCACACATTTTACACATGTGAATGTGACCTGCATGAACTACATGACAGTGAAAGGGAGAAAGAGAAGAGAAGGGAGGAGCAAACAGTTCATCGTCTTAGAGACAAGTCTCCATCTGGAATATCATCCCGTTATAACCGGGCTTAGCTGTGAAGCCGCAATCTACAACTACATGTTTGTCTGTATCTATATATATATTGTATTTACCACTTATTAGTGTATTTGCATTGTTCCAGAAATCACAGTAATATTGACTGATAGATGGTGAGCATCCTGTTTACAGTCCCAGTTCTATTATTATTCAATTATTCTGTCACTGTGCACTGACTGATTGACTGACTGGTTGATGTCTAAGTGTCTGACACACACGCACACATACACTTTCCCTCCATTGTCTGGATGCCAAGCTGATGTGTAACCCCCCCCTCCCACACACACACACACACACACACACACACACACACACACACCCACTCAGCCTTCTATCACCGTAAATTTAGCAACAGAAGCTTCTCAGCTGCTCCTTTCCTAAACCTGAGCCCTCCTCTTCCATCCGCAGTATTTCACCCATCTCCTTCTCCAGGGTCATGGCTGCCTCCCATCCCAATCCCCCCCCCCATCTCTTCCTCACATTAGCATACAACACACACACTCATCCCACAGCCAATAAGGGCCTGATGAGCTCAAGTATCACTATAACACAAGGACTTATTCTCTGAGCGGAGCGCTCCAGATTCTTACGGACCTTCATCCCCATCGTCCGAGGAGCTTCTCTTCCTCTCTGAGGTAAGACGACCACTGACCTGACCTGCGCCTTCTAAACCACATCTTTCTCACTTTGTGCTTTTCTCCTTTTAAGCCAAAATCAGCTGGTTGTAGATTTGTATTGTTTTTGTGGGGAAAAGAGCCTCAGGTGTGTTGTAAGAGAAAACCTCCGATCGTCGTCTGTCGCACCGTAACCTCAGGAGGGTGGTTTGAAATAGACGAAGACACGTCTGCGTGTCGAACACGTGTAGTTTATGTTTGAGAGGGTAAACCGTCGGCCTCGAGGGCAGGACTCCAGTTTCCCCGAGTCCAGATTGATTCAACAGGTTCATAAAAATGTCTCTTTATGTAACAGAACCATGTGTTTATGTACCTTTCTCACAAAAGCGGAGTCAAACTATTCAAGCAATCAAAGGCGTGTAATTTGCTGCCAAACGTGTGAAATTAGAGCAGTTTGCACCTCCACTCTATGTGATGTCGAGGTGTTCAGCTGTGAAGCTGTCAATCGCAGCTATAAATGGATTTAACTTTTTCATGTTTTCCATCTTATTCATTTGCTTTTACCGGCACGCTCCAGAATTACTGTCTTTACATCTTCAATACATTTAGGTTCAGTTACACTTACTTCTGCTTTTTAAATATAATTGTCTTGGATGTAATCTGTGACCTGCTGAATTGTCCAATATGAACATAA